GGAGTGAGAGTAAGAGGATTGAGAAGGTGGAAGGGGAGGGCAATACGAGTAAAGTTTGAGGAGATTGTGTTGTATTGCAAATGGGGAGCGTGATGTTATGGGATGATTGATGGCTGGCGTTACATAGAGTGGCTTAGAGGTAGATGAAGACTGGGATATCAGAATATAGATGCGCGCGCGCCAACTGATGCTATTCTCCCTCCGCAAACACTCCTCTACGGCACTTATATCAGACATCCAACTCTCTACCAGCCACGCGTTTCTGATAACAAGCGTGGTGGACATGTTTTCTGAGACGGGACCTCGCCGGAGGTGGAGCGGAGCGGGAAAGGGCTACTGGTACGGAGGGAGCACGTATTACTTACCTCCCTTAGCTTACCTAGAGATTAATTGCAGGGAAGGGAGTAGAGAAAGAAAGCAATGGAAAGTGCCAGTGAATTAAACAGTAAGAGTAGATATGCTATGATAATGTCACCCCTAAAAACACAGCCAAGCCAGCGCCTTGCCTGCTTGAAAACCGAAAGCCAATGCTCAACATGGTATCACCTCATAACTATTCATCCTCATCTTCAACCTCAGCCGCATCCCTAAGATACTGCCTCCGCTTCCCCACTCTCGCCCTTCCATGTTTCCCCAACACCCTGCGAAACTCCTCGCTATCATCATGAGCCCCCAGTGCCTCATCATCTTCACCAGTCCACACGCCCTCCATGTCGTCCGGGATGTCCGCGCCATTTGTCAACTGCTCCATCACATATGGTGCGTCGTGCGGCTCCATCGTAGTAGCTTCTAGCGCTTGGACGACCAGCTCTGAGGGATAGCCTAGGGCGGTCCAATATTCAACAAAGGCGGTGATCGGGTCTTCAGAGTCGATTTGTGATTGTGATTGTGTGGATTCTTCGGGTGAGGGACCGCGGGGCTGCGGGCTGGGAGAGGAGATGTCGATCCAGGAGCCGTTGGTGTTTTGTTCGGGTTCTTGGGCGGGGAAGTGAAAATCTTGCGTCTCGGGCTCCGGATGGCGGGGAGGTTGGCGGGAGGAGCTTTGTTTGTGTGTATCCCGGACGAATAGTACGTTGCTGCTTCCGTCGTCGTCGTCGTCTTCTGGTTCTAGATCCGGATATAGAACTGTCGATGATTTCAAGGGAGATGGCTTCAGAGGACGTGACGCTTGGGTACTGTTGAATATTTCTTCGGGTGTCGATGGGATTTCTATCTCTCTACCTTTTCCTTTATCGATGCGTTGTCTTTTTTTGGAGGGTGTCACATTGTTGCTGATACGATCAAGGATAAAACTTCGTTTGGTAGGTGATGTAGGCCGTGGAGTAGATGAAGGTGGCTGGTCTAGATGATCATCTCCATCTTCCTCATCCTCGTTAATATGATCCGTCTTGAAATCCTCTCGGGTAGCTGTCTGCATGAGTTGGTCCTCAATCAACTGAGACGTGTCTGCCTCCTGCGACTCTGTCAGATCGGGATTTTCATGCAGGTATGCACCTCTGATTTCCTCAAAATCAGATAGGAATTGTTCGTAGCACGCCTTAAGGTCTTCTGCAGCGCTCTTGTGCTGGAACCCGAAGTTAAGTCTACTGGCCACCTCAGGCCACCGTTTCCGCCCAGTCACTGCATCACTTCCTCCGAATTGATCTGAAACGACAACTTGATAAAGGCTCCATAGTGAAATATGTCGGCCACATATGCTGGGCAAAAGATCTAATTCGAATTCCAGCTCATCGGCCATATCCTGCATTCCCGCCTCAAATAGCTTTTCATTCGCCAAGACGGGATCTGGAGGTGGTTTTCCGGCACTTTGGGATTCTATGGTCTTGCCAGATGAACCTTGAGAATCCCTGATCTCTATAAAGTTTGAAGACGGTTGGTTTGAAGACGTTGAGTTCGGTCGAGATGCAGAAGACCGGTCGACCATCGGAGGTAAAGTGGGCTCTTCCGGTTCTGGTTCCGCTCTATTATCTTCATCTTCCTCTTGCTCACGCAGTTGCTCCATTCTGGGTATCACCCTCTTCTTAAAGTAGTTGTGCCATTCTTGCGCCGTATGATTCGGATACTATACTTTCAACTTAGCATGAAGCAATAGAAATGAGAATTCGCCTTGTAAACCCACTGTGACTGCCCATACACTCCATGCATCAATAATTTGATCATCGTTTATGTTCATAATGTCATCATATGCCTGTATCAACAAATCTTTCTCACTCTTTGTGAAATAATTGCCTCCCTCTGATTTTGCAACGAATTTGTGGGCAGTCTCCTCGCTAGGGACCTCGACTGACACGGGCAGTCGTCTGGATGCGGTTCTCGACGAAGAGGCAAGTATTGTTGATCTCCGCGATGGGACAGCTGCGGTAGGGCGTGGCATGGTTCGTCGGGCTGGAACAGAGATTGGCTCGGGCGGAGGAGATTCGTCGCCGTCGTCATGAGTGGGCCGTGGTCGATGTGAGAGAATCTTGATCCAACGATCTCGCCACGATTGAAAGGTATGCCGATCATTCTTAACAGTGTCAGCCGCGTGTCAAAAGGAAGCAACATCAAAGCCTTACCCTCAGCTCTAGTTGCTTATATAGCTCATTCCCCTTCAAAGATACACCTTGACGTTCCGCCCTCGTCACCCATTTCATAAGTATTCTGTCATCTTCCGCCGAAAAAGGTGTTCTCCCACTCCTCGTAGGCGCTCCTGATCCGACTTCTCGTATGCTCTTCTCGACTGGCCCCGCGCGATGATTCTCAATGTCTACCAGCTGCCCGTCTTTCACACACTGCTCGATCCACTTCCAGGAGATAGACCCAACCGGGCAGTCCTTCCGCACATGATCTGCTATTATGTAGTCCGCTTGATTGTCAATCTTTACGACTTCTCCTCCGTTGTCCTAGGTAGCTGTCAGCACAAGTCAAAATTCGCAATTTCGCACACACTTCAACTAGCTTTTTCCATCTGTCGCGAGAAGGGACCCGCTGCATAATAAAGACCTTGATACCCTCGAATAGCTCACCACCACCACCAACGCCCTCGTAGACAATCGTAGCCATTTCGAGGAGGGGATTGTTGTTTAGATGCCGGTTCGTGTACAACGATCAAAGCGCGCTGGCTGATGCTGGGCGCTTAGCGCATTCGCCTATCTGATGTGAAGGATTGAGCGCAATGCGCACTATGAGAACAGAGTTATGGCGCTCTGTCGTCGCTGTTTGCGATTGTCTATACTTTGTATTGATCAAGAAGAATACGCGTGTCCTGGGAAGCTTCGCGAAATCACATGACCCCGGCCGGACCTCGGTGCTCAGCATCTTTGAGACAACATGCAAGACTCAAGCTGACAATAATAATCCGACGCGTTGAACACTAAAATTCTATCGAAATTGAAACTTTACGTGTGACCAGGCTCATCATTCTAAGTCGAAGATGACTATCACACTCTCTTCCTTCATAACACAGAACTAAGTTCTATACAGCATGGGGACTGTCCGAAACATTGCAGTAGCAGTTCTGCTTATATCTTTCTTCACATTCGTTGCTTTTTTTGGGCGGCTACCTGCATTGAGGTAAGAGATTCTACGAGGCTGGTGGATTTTGAAGCTTATATATGTTCAAGGAATACACCGATTGGGTGGTTACACCGTGTCTTAGTATGTGTACATCTCTATGTTGTATTATATTGACTGGCAGCTTCTTTTACCTCCATACCTGATATGATTTCTTTGTCGGTCTTCTATTGAGTTTACCGAATTACCTCATGTCGCGAATCTAACCTTTTATAGTGGATTCGAATCCCCCAAGGCTTCAGAAGTCTTGACCAGATTCTGACCAATGGCCGTCTCAGCACCTCTGTGTCGAGGATCGCTCATACGCTGTGGGATGATCGGCATCCCACTGTCATGGTAAGGAACTTTGTTGTCCTTGGATTTTCATACATATCTTCTCGGTTCATTCACTCAATTCTCAACTCTATTGAGAGCTGCGTGGAGGCAAGACTTGGCAATGAACCCGATCCTAATTTTACCCCATGGCTCAGGCCTATTCGTTGAATGTTCCTAGAATTGTTCTGTCTAACACCCATAGATATTCTTCCTTCTCCTGCTCGCAGTCTCAGAGGTTCTAATAATCCCTCCAATATGGTCGCTGCTCACCCCCCAGCGCAAATTTACCTCCGTGACGCTCCTTTCCCTACCATACCTATTCCTCTACCTCTCAGCCAATGGTGACCCTGGCTACATCACCCCGGAAGATCATTCCCATCAAATGACGCTATATCCCTACGATTTCACCATCTTCTATCCAGGTCAGAAATGCAAGACCTGCAAACTCCTAAAACCCGCCCGCTCTAAACATTGCAGTATATGCAAGCACTGCATATCCAAGATGGACCACCACTGCATCTTCATCAACAACTGCGTCGGCTACGGAAACCAACATTGGTTCCTCCTGCTCCTCCTGACTACCGCAATCATCATTACTTACGCCGCCTACGTGGGTCTCGACGTGCTATCCGCCGAAATTTTGAACCACATCTCGAGTTGGACCCTATCAGGCAAAGGCTTTACGTGGTCCCAATACTTCAATATTTGGGGCTGGGCCATGCAAGAATACACACGCATCAGCGGTGTCACTCTCCTCTGCATCCTAACCGCTCCACTGGTGTGGGGTTTACTAGGCTATCATTTGTACTTGATATGGGCGGGCACCACTACCAACGAGAGTATGAAATGGTCAGACTGGCAAGCCGAGATGACTAGTGGATTTGCATTCAAGCGGACCCTAGACACCGACCGACAAAAAGATGCACGTATCGAACCCGCTTGGACACGTTGGCCCGTCGAATCCGCGCAGGTTGTTGTACAGACTGAGGACGGGCTTCCTCCTACAGAGCCGGGTGATATTGGTACGGGGCATTGGGAACGGGTGTGGCGACTGGCGGATGTTGAGAATTTGTACGACCTGGGTTTTTGGAACAATTTGAAGGATGTATTCTGGCCGAAGTATGGGTTCACGCATCGTGTGGAGAAAAAGGCGCAGGAAGCGAGGACTATGCCATCATCTTCTTTCATGAATGCGCCCAGTTCTCCGGCGAAAAGGTAGAACGTTGGAATTAGGCCTGTACAACAAGGAATACAAAAAGACGGATCAAGAAGTTTGTATTTGTGCCACTGCAGGAGTCTGCGCTCGTATACGCAGCTTCCACCCATTGATCCTCACAATAATATCATCCAGAGCAGAATCCTCATTCTCCACACTACCAAACCCCAGACTCTCACACGGCCAGACCCGCAAAGCCAAATTCAAATCTTCACCCTCAAGCAATTCCTCGGGATTCTGCACAACCCTCATGGCCGGATTCCCAACGTTCGCCCCAGAATGGTTTTTAAGATATCGGACACGAGCCTTAATAAAACAAACCCTAAGACTCTCCGGGATCTTCCACGCAACCTGCATAGCCCTTCTCCACTCAGTCCTCAACGCCTCAATCTGCATCCTCTCATACTCCTCATCAGCAATCACCACAAACTCATCCAAGTCCATTTCCATCAACGGAAGCAACTTCTCAACATCAGCGTGCGCGCTCCTTTTCCACATACTGCTCCAAGCCGCCAACCTCCTCACTTCTCGCGCCTGCTCGGGAAACAGCTGCAGGAATACTTCTAGTGGGTTGTCGACGCGATAATCTTCTTCGAGGAGGATGAATCCGAGGCTTGGGTTCCAGATTACGGGGTCGGATGAAATCAACCACGTCTTGTATCCATTTTCGAAGACTATGTCACGGGATTCTCTACATGCTGACAGGAGTGGCGGAGGTGAGTATTCGTGTGGCTCAAGGTGGACGGTGTAGTATGGTTCGTGAGGCCGCTCTGGCTCGTTGAGCGTGAAGTGGCGGTGGGGGAATCCATAGCCGCCTATGAGGTAGATGAAAGAGGTCATTTTGTAGAAATCTAGCGGTTGGATTGAGCATCGCAGTCTTAGGACCCGTGGTTCTACTGCAAAGACCCAGATCTGAAGCCGAAGTTCCTTGGGCAGGTCGGGGAAGAGTGAGAAGGTTGTGGCTACTGAGGAGGTCATTTTGCGGGGTCTATAAAACGCTGGGAGGGAGAACAAGAGATGATGGATGTGTTTTCAGTTACAATATAAAAGTGATGATGGTGGACTACGTCAAGTGAAGTGCGGCTGACTATGGTATAAGCTAGACCCCGCGGCTTCCCAATTAGGTTATCGGTCACGTGGTAGCCACTCTCTTTCAGAGGTGCTGTTCTGTTGCATTCACGCTCGCTCTCTCCCAACAAAGTTTCCTTAAAATGCGCGCCTTTCTTTCAAGTATCTTTATCCACGTAACCTCTTTGTCAGATTCTAACAAATTGCCATGATCGCGCACAAACACAAGGCACCACAACCACTCCGCGAGGCTTAAGTTGCACGAACGTCCCCAGGTTTATTACTTTGAAGGTGTCTGATTGACTTTTGACGCCGACTTGGAATAGAGATACACGTCCCTCAAAAGTATATAAGAAACCTCTCGGCGTTTTGAGGCATAGAAATGCTTCCAGACCCCACGAAAACTCATCCCAATAGATCAGATAGACGAATGCCACTCAAGCTAAACAGGGGGCAATATAGGTCAGCCTTGCTGAAGGGAGTTGTGATCTTGCGGATGTTGATGGAACCGCATTTGGCGATACGGCTCTCGCTGAAGTCGAAATTCTACCTCACGCTGATCAATATCAACCACAAACACCTGAATCCATCAGATTCGGCAAACTATTCCCAGGAAAGATGCATCAATCCACCCGCCTAAAATATGTCATCATGTCTTAGTGCTCAGAGTTAGGACAAATCTGTTAGAACACCCCAACAGCTTCCGATCTTCTGCGAATTTCGAAGCCTAACGAGCCGCAGTTCGATTATATCAGCCATGGCAGTGATAGCACTCATAGGACTGAAACAGCTTCTCATGTTATTCAAAACGTAACGGAGCTGTCTGGTCCCTTTGACTCGAAGTCTTTTGAAACGGTTATCCTTTTCGAGTTTCCTTCTAACATTCTAGCGGGACACATTAGAGCGTCTCACGCGGGATCAGAGACCAAGAAAATTCCCACAAACTTCGCACGCTGTTTACCAAATACTCCACCTGGGCCCAGAGGAAATATCTTACTCTGGCTGAACTGCGCATACCTTTGTTTTCCCGGCTGCTCACCGGCACCGGCCAGTCCGCCAATAGCATTACCCCTCCACAAACGCCAGGAATCTTAAGCCTACGTGGATTGTTCCCTCCCCGCCAAAGCAGCAGCTTACGTCTGAAACTATGCCAATTTGGAAAAAGCATCTTCAAGTTCCTTATTCGGCAATTCATTAAATTTATGTTCTGTCTACTAATCTCTCAACCAAAACGCTTCAATATATAGGATCAAATCGTACTCCAACACTCCCTTAGCCTGACCCAAACCATCTTTATAGCGAATTCGAGTTATCAGCACAAGCGAAAGCACCCCCTATTAGTCAATTAGTACCACTTTCTATTCTGTGGGAGCTTCACTTACCAATTTCACCAGTCGCGTAAGCTTCAATTATCGACTTCACCACACCGTACGTGCCACCAACACATATGAACATGCCCAAAAGAGGCAGAAACCAATGTGACCAATACATAGCCTTTTGCACAGCACTTCCAGTCCGGTAATGGCCGTGGTCATAGAGCCACAGGGCGCCTGGCAGCATGATTGCTAGGGGTGCAAAGCAGATACTGCCCGTCAGCGCAATCAAGTAGTTGAAGATCGGAATGGCCTCCGCAAGGATGAAGCTGAGGGATGCGAGACCGAAAGTGCAAGAGAGCCACACGGTCCAGTGCTGCCACGTGCTTTGCTGCAAATGGCGAGTGTTACGCAGCATGCGTACAAAGAGGTACTTGGCTGCTACGTGCAGGTACAGAGTCGCCGACACGATGAGACCGATGAGACCGATTCCATATGAGACTTTCTTGATCGTTGGACCTGCGGAGCCGAGAGACGGGGAGGCAACCCATTTCCCGCACCATTTGTACACCACGAGCGACAGAGTGAGATATGCGGCTGTCACGAAGCCCATGCAGCAGTACAGGGCTTTCTTGAAATCCTTGGGATTGCGCATCTCAGAGATGACAGGCAAGAATGCGGAAGTCCCCGCTGAAGAGACGAAGATAGTTGCGGATGCAGTTATGCCGGCTACGAAAGTCGGGTGCGCGATAACATAGTATCCGAAGTCATAGTCTCCTGTCTGGGGGGCTGAGGCCGGGCGATCCAGGGTCGTGACGGCAATAACAACGATGAAGACTGCGGCGAAGATACTGACAAAACCGGCCCACGTCAAAAATCCGATGGTGTGAAATTTGCGGACTGAAGCTGTTGCTGCGACAACGATGGTAGCCAGGAACGACCACCAAACTGAGCAAGCTGCATGTGTCGAGAGGGCATTCAGACCAATTGAGACTCCAAGGATGCCAGATCCAGCGCAGAGAACATATGCGATCAGGAACAGTGCTCCACAAAGCTCTTTCAGGACTACGCCTCCAATCACGTCTGCCATGTCAGCGATTGAATGGCACCCCGCGTGTGAGTTACGGAAGTCTCCTTGTAAGACAGCCGTGTAAGTGTTCAGTGCTCCCCAGCCAATGACCGAAAGAGCTCCACCGACTGCACCCAGAGAGTACATAGCCGAAGGGATACTCAAAACACCGGTCGCGAAGATGACTGCTCATTTGTCAGGTACGATTTCAGAAAATGGCGGAATATACTGACCCTTCAAGAAAATAACAGCTGCTCTCTTCCAACCAACAGTCCTAAAATCAACACCATCATGCGTCTTTTTGAATACTTCATTCTCCTCCAATGGGTCCTCGACATCGCCATAGTGCGATTCTAGAATCCCATTACTGGTATGCGGGATCCCTTTTTCGTCATCCATGCTATTGTTCTTCATATCAGACATGATGAATGCTCTTTCTTGACTTTGGAAAGGATCTACCAAGAGAAAAATGAGACACGACGTGCAGATATGCAGACTTATATATCAGAAGTGAGACCGACGGCTGCATAGGATGAAAAGGGATATCCCCGAAAAAGCTGATAAGGGTTATACATGCCACTGCATTTGGAACATGATAGTCTAGTCTAGTTAGTCTAAGTAGCACAGAGAAAAAGCCATGACAAAGTGCAACAGATAAGGCGCACTGCCGGTATCGAACCTGCTTCGCGGGGCAAGGATACGATGCGGGGACACACGATTGAGAGCTCCAGGGCTTATCGCTTGAGGCTCGACTTTATCAGTTGAGATAGAGCTGTTGTGTTTGCCCGTGACGGAGATCCGATGGCCAAATCAGGGGTACAAGATCGCGAGTAAAAGTGGGGGATGTCATTGCTCAACTCGCATGTGCTTCACTTGAATAGACGCCGTCTCCTGGACCATGGCTTTGGGAAAGTATATACACTGCTTTGATGCTAATCATTGTAATAGAAGAGCTTGTTCGTTCTGGAAGTTCCAAGGGGGTGGTAATTGGCTGTAATGTACCGCTGAGTCAGCATTCCCTCGGGTCGTTCCGACCAAGCTTTCGCTTCCAATGTTTCTCCGATCGCTGCTGCATATCAAGACTCTCGCCGGATCTCCTTGGCTGCTTGAAGCTTGATAATAAATATCGTATCATGTACTGTTTTGATGAAGCTCGATGAACGCTGAAGAGGTTCAAGTATCCTTTGTGGCTTATACTGATATACATAGAGCAGAAGTTCAAGGCAAGCCACAAAGCAGGTCGAAGCATGCTTGAACCATGTTCAGCGATGATTGTCGAGGCCGCCTCAACACGTCTCCTTATGAAGCCAGACTTAGGATTGAAGGAGGGTACCTTTATTCTCTTTACGCTTTATCTACTTTTGAACTCTGCTCTCTAGTCACATGGTCTCCCACCATGCTTAAAGTAGCTAAGTACTCTTACTTTACTTCGTAGTACGGATTCGCAAGAAGAACCTTCTACCTCCTCACTGAAACGCAATTGTAACCCAGCGCATATCGTGGAGTCCATCAGGTTGAAGTTGAGTTGCGACAGGCGTGGTGGCACCTGCCCAGTGGGTATGGAAATAATTCTGCTCAAACTCGCTCATGCCAAGACAAGTTGGAAAGATATTCACCTGAAACGTAACGTATGAGTAACGCTGGCTTCTTCAATCCATACGAATGCTTGGATTCCTCATCTTTTCTCCGCTAAACTTGCGCAAGTGCTAAGATGGGATTCAAGGTTGAGAGAAAATGAGTAACATCTTCCATTTCCTGACAGCAATGTGGCCAGTCAACAGTTTCAAATTCCGATAATTATCAACTTCCACTGTCGCTGCCGCCAAACTTTTCAGTCAATTTAAAGTGCTTTCGTCAACACCAAGCACTTTCTAAGCTTATACTCGAACTACTTTGATTGTCTAGCCACTGAAAATCCTTCACTCAAGATGTTACCATGGCTGGACACTCCGGTACTTTTGCATTCGTCGCGCATGAACATGTGCAAGCTCACTCCCGCCCAATGTGAATATAAATCTGGCCATTGGAGATCCTGGTATATGATACCATTTGAGTTTATATCCCCAGAAGCTGATTTTCTCTAGGTATGTCGCGGACTGGGTCTATGGGCATGCAACTTTGTATTTCATGTGCGCGATCATCGGTGTCTTTGCAATCCCCCACATCCTCACCAGAATATGGAGGGCGGCGAAGAGAGAAAGTCCTCTGAAGAGCAATAAGATATGGCAACGAGCTTTGGCTAGCACTCGGTTTCTGGGATACAGGACATTCTACCTTCGAGGGTTAAATTGGTACTCTCCTGCTGTTGGTGTCATGTTATTAGGCCTGGCAGGGTTCGTTTACTTCATGTGTACTCCAGACCTCTCCATTATTCCAATTGTTAAACTAACACCCAAAATAGCTTTGACTCTTGGGCCTAAGCCTTACTACTGGCCAAAGGAGCCATCATACGGAGACTCACCACCTATTGCGACCAGATCAGGTTGGATGGCTCTGGCATTACTTCCATTCGTGATGTGAGTTCTGCCCAACCAAGTACCTCACTACCTTCTGATGTATAGCTAGGATCCTTTCATCCAAAGTCAACTGGATCACCGTCCTCACCGGCATCTCCCACGAGAAACTCCAAGTATTCCACCGCTGGGCATCCTGGACCATGTTCGTGCTCGCCCTCGTCCACACGTTCCCTTTCATTGTAGTGCACATGCAAAAACACGATATAATGCTACAATGGCGCACAAGCGTAGCCTATTGGACTGGAGTTGCAGCACTTATCCCGCAAGCATGGCTCAACATAATGTCCATCGGACCGATCCGCAACCGCTTCTACGAGTCTTTCAAAGCAACACACTACCTCGCAATTATCTTCTTCGTCTTCTTCTTATTCATCCACTGCGACTTTACTCTCTCATCCTGGGATTACTTCATCGCGACCCTAGCCTTGTATCTCCCGACACTGGTTTACGGAGTTGCACGCACAGTTACTCATACAAACCCTCCACACACTGCATCTCTTACGCTCTTGCAGGATGGAACTTTGCAAATCACCATTGCGTCTCCCATCATCTGGTCACCGGGCCAGCATGTATTCCTTCGCTTCTGGTCCCTGGGCATACACACTCTGAGCACACACCCCTTCACTATCTGCTCATTACCCGATAGTGGGAGGATGGAATTCTACGTAAAGCCAGCTGGGGGCTTCACTGCACGAATGGCGAAGTTAGCTGGAACCCAGGAACGGATACCCGTTAGCATTGACGGCCCATACGGCGACAGCCTGACGGCGCAAAATCTCAGCGAGAAGGACGCAGTTGTGTTGATTGCTGGTGGAAGCGGAGCGGGGTATTTAATTCCTCTCCTAGAGACTCTGGTACGCGATCCAAGGACAGGGGGCAATGTTAAAGTCATAATCGCCGTTCGGCATAGACAGAGCGTGGACTGGTTATTCAACGCCATGGAAGGGGTCTTGTCATTTCAAAAAGAAAGCAATAATACAAAAGTATCAGTCTCTCTTCAAATCACAGACGACACGCCGCTCCCTACCCCTCAAGGACCAATCCAGGACACTGTCTCTTCTTCCTCCTTAGACGCCATCCAAGCCTCGCCAACCGACCTCGAGAAGAACAACGCGATGAGCACAGAAACGACTGCATATCCGGCTAAGTTTTCGAACCAAAACGGTGTTGCTGTTGCTGTTATCGAAGGCAGAGGACGCCCGGATCTGAAAGCGTTGATTCAGGCTTTTACAACTGAAGGGAGGAGCGTGGGCATTGCTGCATGTGGACCGGCGGGCATGATGCTCGATGTGCGGAATGCGTGTGCGGAGGCGCAGAGGGGTATTATTGCTGGGGAGAGGGTTGGAGAGGTGTGGTTGCACACGGAGAGTTTCTCTTGGTAGATGCTTTTGCTCTGCATGTACAATCGAACTCATAATCATATTTAAGAATTCCTGGCTCCGGGAGTCGAACTAAATATATCTGCATGGCTTTTTGCGGTCACCTATTACAGTCACACTGCTTTTTTTTTTTGACTCTCTAGTAAGGCTCGAGCTCCGGCAACGTGCTTAGGTGAAGGCGTCCTCAGCTGTGCCGCCGTCGCGGTGTCGCCCTGGACAGCGTACCCACGTGCCCCTGAAACACCCATCTCTTGGGCCGGGCGGATGAGTAGAGTACGTGCGGAACAAATCTGTATATTTACTCAATTTCCCAGGCAGAACTCTCTCTATATTTCCTACTTGTATCGATCGGTAAGTACGTATACGCCTCCCCTTCCCATCCGTACCCGCTTCCTCCTCAATCAATGAGTGCAAGTATGATGTATACAGTATATATGTACACTTGCCCACCCTCAGGCTAGCAGAGTCACTGTATCACATGTCCAAGCACGGCCCAACTACTCGTAGCTAAACCTTTGCGCTTGGCGTTGCGTGCTTGCCATGCCATGGGTGATGAGATATGGATATGATATGATATGATATACGAGCTGCGGTTTTGGGAGGGATGATTGCAGCTGGGGCTTTCTTTCGTCTAGAGGGTGCACGTGGGTGATTGGGGGGAGAGGGAGTTTGGGGGTTTGTACATGTGAGTTGGGGTGGGTTGGGTTCGGAGTTTAGAATTTAGAGTTTAGAGTTTATAGGGTGGTACAGGACTTCCAATTGGTGTATACCGAGGCTGGGCATGATGGTACGAGTATGGAGGTAGTTGTATAGTACATGATTTATTAAATCGAGAATCGGGCACTATAAGAAAAGCGATGATGTTGTATGTAAGGAGGCTTGTTGGAATGGGGTTAGAGGCAGCCTAACCTGTTAATCAAGGGTCGTAGGGCTGAGAAGCGGGAGGGTGTGCACGTGGAGGTTGAAGGGGCAAATTAAAGGAAGATTAGGAGAAGATTGGCATTGACATTGGGATTGGCACGCGTCTTCCTGGATTTGTTATAGGCGGTTCGTTATCAAGTGGTAAGTGAGCAAGTATCTTTCCATTGGGGTAGTGATACCGTTTGTTAGAGGGAAGTGGCTTCGGTGGCACGAACTGGGCGATGAATGCATATTGCTATAGGTGTAGTTAAGGCTTACCTCCACCTCAGGACTTGCTTCCAGGGGATCTAAACAAGATCTCAACGGCTAGACAAATCTATCTATTAGATGCCAAGCTTCAGCTAGTTACGTCTGCAGCAGTTCAAGAGCGGAATGAGGTGCGATGACCCTCGAGATACTGTGAAGGTCAATGTAGAAGAAGGGTTGACAAAGGCGGAATACCAATAAAAAGGAGTTTTGGCAGTGTGAAAGCGCATACGGTTGTACACAAAGATCTTTGATCGTAGTTTAGATACGGGAACAAAGACACGAGCGTATGGTTGAAGGGTTTGTGAACGTTGGATACCGTGATACTGTACGTCAATGCAAAGTGTATGGTTTGTACACAAAGGTCTTTGAAGTTTGAGCGTGGATCAGATCAGATACAGGAATAGGGACTCGGGCGTATGGTTGAAGGGCGTAGGAATGTGGGGTACGTCAGTGATGGGCGGATTTGTTTGTCGTCATGCCGTCGGTGTGTGTGGGCGAACAAGGAAGCTAGGCTTTTGTACAAAGATATATAAGTTCCTCCAGATCCTCTTTGATTCAGTTTAGTTGCTCTATCATGACATCCATGTTCGCTTTAATTGCAAGTTCAAGTTCAATATCAACTTGTCTCCCGCGATCCAATAAATGGTTCGATATTTCCTTCTTTCATTCCAGTCTATTTGATTCATCTTTATTTATTCCCCCCTCTTCAATTGGCTACATACTGATATCATTCTAGTTACAATGACACCAAACACTTCTCTCAATACAAAGGCAACGGCAATCATGCCCGCCGTCGAGGCGACTTGCCCCGAGCCTCCGGAAAACGAGGCAAATGACGCCGAGAATATCGAAGAGCCAGAGATGGAGGAAGCCGATACCAATGGCCTTTATGGCGTTAACTACATTTGCCCCCTCATGTAACCCCACACAAAGAAGCATTGGATAAGCGAGAGGGTGTGGGGATAGGTTTTGGGTTTGCAGTCGTTACTTTACAGGGAACCCTCACGGGGAAATGCAATTTGATTTTGGATAACCTTACATTTGGCTTGTGTAGAATGATTTGAAAATGTCTGATAATTTGGTAATTTGAAAGTGTCGAAGAATTGAGTGGTTTGCTAAGCAGAGTATCAAATTAAATAGTCACTTACCTATCAAGCGAGACTCCTCCTAGCTGACTGACTGGCGGAAAACCTCTTAATTGACTAACTGAAGCTGATAAAAGGATTAGTCGTTAGTTAGTTAGAAGTAAGTGGAGGGTTATTTTAATGCTCAAGGAGCAGCTTGCCAAGATTTTGCTCAGAGCGATGGACGATGATATTGATGGTGAAGGGAAAAATCACAGACGCGGTTTGGGATGAGAATACTCATTTGCATAAAGGAGGCCTTCTAGCGGAGTAGTAGATAAGAGTGGGACTTGTAGACGAAAGTGGAGGGGCTGCAAAACACTATAGGCGTTGAGTTTTAGATTTAGTACGCTAAGCTGACGAATAAATGACATTCACCGCATTCCTCCTACCCCTTGGGTTGAGACCACGGCACCTTTAAGGTCGGCAGAAAGACGTCGTGGATGGATAGCGACTAGCTCCGTACCATCCCAACCGCCCGAGAGTCTTTGAGCACCTACTGCATCCGCATTCGCGACATCATCGCCGCCACTACTATTGACGCTCCGAGGGTAGCTCCGGTTGACGTTCCTCGGCTGGCTTGAAAGATATGATGAAGGAACTTTCCTACTCATATTTTGATACGAGTTTCGCCCAGACGTGGTTGTGTTATACTTGATACTAAAGGCCTTGGGGAACAGGCGCTGAAGAATCTGTCGTAGGGCCGGTAAACAGGCTCCTATGGCTGCTGTGAAAATCTCGATCGTTGACCAGATGGTGGTATCGACATTGTCCCCTAGGAAAGATCAGCATTGTGAATATCTCGGATTGCAGGTCGTGTTTGACGTACAAGTCAAATCCGTCAAGTCTCCATAGTTACAGACGTATTTCAGCCGTATCGCAGAGGCGACACAAGAACTGAAGCTGTTAGAAGATGTGCAGACTTGAGGGAGGACAGCTTACAGTGACCCGATACTAAACATTACGCCAATGCTGATCTTTTTCAATCTTCCCATTTGAAGACTTGAAAAACACGGTATCGGCAAGGTCATTATGAGTATATCATCGACGATACTGAACGCAGTTCCTGCGTAGATGATCGCTTGTACATCAATGCATTTCCCCGTAATGCTCGTGTCCCAAATCGACGCGACTGGCAAACATTGGAGGGCTGTGAGCAGGGTAATGAGAGTTCCGTGTCCAGCAGAGAATGCTATGGTTACGTAAATGCTGATGCGAAACCACCGGATAGTCTCAGGGAAGATTCGAAGGTAAGAGACAAGTATGGAAAGCTTCAATAGCTTTTGGACGATGACGTAAAGCACTTGTATAACGTAATATATCTATTGGAGAATTTAGCAACAACCCATAATTACAGGGGCACGCAGCAAACCTTTAGAAGATTCGAAGCTTCCAGCAAGTTGATATCCCAGAGGTGTTTGCCGAATCCTTTCTGGATGACTAGAAACGGGTGTAAGAAGCGCATCATCGGGATAGATGAAAGCGCTTACCAAGTATTACCATGGCTAGTTGAACTACTAAAACAGCCTGGATCACAATCAACTCGTGCCATTAAGACTATAGGATTTAACATATTTACCGCGGAGATCAATATCATGTAGTCGTCCCACCAAAGCTTCGTGTAAAAGAGGCGCCAGAAGAACCGTAACAGTATCAAGGGAATTGCGACAGAGGAGAGCCCGATTATAGTACCTAGAATCTGGTAACCTTTGGATGGTACAGGGTAACCTGCACATAATAAATGGCTAGCCTTCGAAAATACTGCACGTGACTTAGCATTTGATGTTTAGTTATCGAGAGCTCCAGTCCGTCATACCGTATTGCTCTGTGATATTACAAGTTGATTGAAGGCATGCAGAGACTTTCCGTTGGAGAGGGGCATCTGCGCAGAGGCATTGGCTGACTTGGGGGACAGTCGTGAGGTTGCAGCTGGTTGACTGTAGTATCGGGATAAGACACGATTGCTGCAGGTTGTTAGATAGGTAAGGGTTAGTACTCAATACATAGAGTGTCTTACTCCACAGAGAGGAAGAGATGCAAGAGCATCTGATATTGATTGACCAGCGACTCCTCCTACGGCCAGCACAATGAAGGGCCATGGAACCCTCATACTTTCGTCATGAAGATGAGTTGTGATGGAAGAAATGTTGAATATACATGCCTCGAGAAGTCGCTCGAGTAATTATCTGAAGTAAGAAGGCTGAAAGTTGAAATGTTGATTGATGTGAATTAGCAATGCAATGCCGGCTACCTGAGTCGGTAAAGTACGCTACGGATGTCCCGCCAGCCTACTCCGTAATATTAACTCGATGCACGGGCACACGGGAAACCGTCTCACATGCCAGGTTAGGTGGACTAACTTGAAAAGGGAATTTTTAGTCGATCTATTTTCCCGTGTCTGACTAGCGCGTCCACAGGGTAGAAGAAAGGGGAAAGGTCACAGCCGAGGATACTCCTACTCCTATACCCCTACTCAGTACATTCGCGTCCGCCAAGTCAATAATAAATACATTCTACTAAGGCCTCGCAAATGTATCTTTTCACAGGTTACAGGAACAACTAAACAATAGGCTTATTTGTTGCTTTACGGAGGTACAAGTCATAAGTATTCACCAGGGGTCTTGGTCTCCTGTCCTTGAAGTATTGATTTGGCTGCAGCCTCGCTAACCATAAAAACACCACCAAACTCACCCCTGCGCGCAACCCCTGGTGACAATACTTATGCCTGGACCCCCTTCCCCCGTAAGCCACAGGTGGAGTAAATCAAAGCGTAAAAGACGACGGCGTGGAAAAGTGCCGAGGATAGGTGCAGGGGTAATCTTACGATCCGATCTACTTTGCAATCCAGCCCAACGGCTCCCGACCCAACGATCTCGATCTGAATCATGTGTATGCATGGGGTGCATCTCTCCCTCTGGTACAAGTGGTATTTCGTCCTGACACAGGAAAAACCCTATATTGTATGTTCCGAGCTACTTGAAGAGCTTAGTGTTGCGAGCTGGCTGTTATCTCTGGGCGGCGTCCAGAGGACGCTAAGCCTACTCTGCCACATTAGACATCATCTGACGCTGTTTACTAACTGTTACTCATATGATCCGGGTATCTGTGAGAGATATAAGCAGGGGTGCAATGTTGATCAAGTTCCTGACGACAACAAGCCTGAGCCAAATAAGAGCGCACCGCTAAACCCCGAAGCATTGTGTGAAGTACGTGGTAACTTTGCAAAAGAGCACATTCGTACAGAGATATATTATATAGATTTATCTTTATTTTATCATTGTAAGTGTAATAGAGGATATACTATAGTATAGAGTAAAGGCCAATCATATGCCCGGAATCTATCTTTCCGCACTAAATTGTCTATAGCATCAGCCTTAAAGAGAAGCAAGTAGCTCTGAATACTATGTGCATACGGAGGTATGTGCTGAAGACTTTAGGGGTATCCTTGTTTCGGAACTGCGTTCCATAGGGCAAGCCTTCGTAGCCCTTGAAGATCGTAAACGTTCGGATAGGTTATCCATTCAGTCAGTCAGCGCTAGAGTAAATAGATGAGTCGGTAGTTGACTTGGAGCAAATATTTTGAGTTCAATTCAAGTATGTCATATATATGAAATTTTAAAGTTCTGTGCTAAAGTCAAACTTAGTCAACCACATAGGTAGCCTATTGTGAATGCGCCAAGAAAGGATCAGGGAATTATTACTGTATCAGTATGGTGTACGAGTAGCGATAGTCCGTGCTATCCCGATAAGCGTTACGCGAGCCAAAAGGGGGCCGAGCGAGGTTGCACGAGGCACGTTAGGACGTTTCATCTCATGATGAACTTTATTTAATGGGGCTCACGATTTACACTTTACGTTCTAAGCCCGAAACACGCTTGGAGCCCTGCTCCAGAGATAAATCCGAGTCAGGATACTCCGTGCAAGCTTTTTGTCAAATCTGTACCTTTCTGCCTGGTAATTCCAACATGAATAACAAAACAAGGTTTTAATTTGCTAAATACATATTTGGACGATCGTTTATGCCCTATTAGTAATAATCGACTATATATACTAATAATAGAACGTTCCGAGAGCCGGAGTAAGATGCCCTAAGTACGATGACAAAGGGGAACGGGGCCGTGCCGGGCCGGAGACCGCAACTACTTGTTTTCCAGTAGAGGATTTTCTACTCTACGTGGAATTTAGGCGATGCATCGAACCTTAGGGCGCCTATAAGGAAGACAACTATGAGAAATCAATAGACGTGAGATCATTGGAGCACAATAATAAATACCGTAGTGCTCTATATCAACTTTGAAATTCGGGTACAAGACTAAGCCTTCTGCCACTGAATAATTGCCAGTTAAAGAACGATGGCTAAATTGACGTGAAGGGCCCAGGAATACCAAAGACCTTTAACAAAGAGCTTCTGTGCTCACAATAGTTTTGCCCAAGAAAGTAGAGTATTTGTTTTAAAACAATGGTATTGTGGGCACAAAAGAGATAGAAAGAACAGAATAGTAATTCGAAATATATATTGAACCAAATAAACCCCCTCACATCTTTTCCTCACAACTCCATCCCACACACCACTTCCAACTATGTCTCCCATCTCACTTCCTTCAACATCTCACATCTCACTACTAGCAAGAACGGACCCCCCCCCATCAAACAGCCACCCAAAATGGCGTACACCTCACTAAACTTCCACAACCGAGAATGCACCTACAGCACCCCAGGGACCTGCTGCAAGCCGTCCAACGACGCCCCTGAAATGGAGATGGTCTGGCTCTACAACGAGACCAAAGACCGCTTCATGACCCCCATGGCGAACGCAGGCGAGGGCTTCGTCTGTCCCAGCTGCGCAACCTACAGCCTCGACACGCGTGTACCCAAGGTCAAGACACCATGCGGGTGCATCTGACACAAGGAATGCCTCAATAGAAGCATCTGCAAGTACACTGGCAACGTCTTTACTTGTCCTACCGCTGATTGCGGAACTAGGTACCCGGAGCTACGATACGTTTTGGAGCCCGTGGAAGTGAGGCCCGATGAGTATTTTAGCGTCCCGGGGTCTTATCCCGGGGGATCAGACTTTGATTGTACGGAACCGTCTACCGTGGATGAGGAGGAGTTGTACTATGGGCCCTCGGAGCCATCCTACAAGACTCCAGACTCTCCAGAGCTGCCTCGTGCAAAGGAGGCCGAGGAGTATTTTGAGGATGTGGATCTGGGGTCCCCGGAGCCTGTTTCCAAATTCCCAGGTTCTCTAGAGTTACCTCCGGCGCATGAAGATGAGGGTGAATTTCAGGATGTGGATCTTGGGGACGATCTTCATGATGAAGAGGCTTATGACAGGAGCATCTACTCTGAGGTCATGGAGTACATGGAGGACAAGAATCATGAGAGGAGCATCGATGATGAGACTTGGGAATTCGTGGACCGATCCCTAGAAGGTTAGTGAGAGTGAAGGAGTTCACGCCACGGCTTTATTTCCTTTCTCGCCCGGAGTCGAGATGTCACAAGAATGCAATCTGCTTTATTTCCTTCCTCGCCCGGAGTCGAGATAACCGAATAACAATGGAATAATAACAACATTATTATGAATAAAGGCTTCAGAAAACATTAAAGTGAACAACGTGACTCACCTTCCGATGCAAATGAAAGTGACGAAATAAAAACAAAATGATTTAAAATGTAATGAGATGTAATAAAATGCAGTAACAATTTAGCTACAAGGAATTGAAGCACTTGCCTACTCTAATTACGGAAACTATCATCAATGTAAACCAGCAGAAAATTCTGCCGTCACCCCAAACGGCATAATTTTCCATGAATAGTTAGTTGTTGACTCTAAATTCATGATATGTTATCGCTCGCCTCATTATGCATTCCCACCCGAGCTCGTAAAAAGCCCATGCGGTACACTAACAATGCTGCTGTAGTCTCACTGTAATTCCCAGTCTTTCCTACCCATCCATCCATGCATAATGTATGCCAGAAACGGAAGAATAGTTCAACTCAGATAACCTTCCTGATACCCAAATTACATTAGAATGCTTATTCAAGGATAGAGGATACAAGTTAACTCACCACCGCGGTTCATCCTTCTCAGTAGCGGGAGTATCAAGCTCATTGCGATCAGCAAACGGATCGTCCTCATCCTCAGACGGATAATCATCGCCCTCATCAGCGGCTGGAGGAGGTTGAGCTGGCCTTGGTGGGGGTGGGGGGCGTTGTTCTGGGCTGGAGCCTTTGCGATCGATTTGGAGACCAGCAAATTGTTGGGATACGTCGCTTTCTTTGCCTTTTGCGGATGTAACTGCGAGCATTAGCAGGGTTGAGGAACGTGGACAGAGTATAAGTACCCTTGTTGTAGATATTTGCTTGTTCGGCTAGCTCGTCATCCGAATCGCTGTCTGCATCAATGGAGCGATCAAGTTGCTCAAAGGTCATTAGCGCAGTGACAAGCTCATCATTTGCGTGAAGCAGGGCGCCGAGCCATTGTTCTGCTTCTACGTGTTGGATCTGATCACACTGTTAGTAAGACCGTGAGGGGAAGATGCTGTATACTCACATAGCGCAGAATCTTTCTCCGTAGAAGCTTGCAGATTTCGAAGTGTTGGACAGCAGCCTGATTCTCGGAAATTTGTTCCTTCTCACGGTTGATCAACCGTAGGGCGTTTAACAAGTTAGTTGAGGCAACTGAAGACTCAGCAATGCAGCTCTTCATAGTTTCCTTCTCGGCTTCAAGATTAAAAGGTTTGCTCTTCTTCTTTCCACTCTTCCTGTCCTTCTCTTTCTTTGCCGCCTTCTTATATGCAGTTACTGGCGCTGATGGACTGAAGAATGAAACCGGGTTTCTGTTGGATTGGCCTACTTGAGAGACCGATGTGTGTCGGGAATGCTCAGGTGCGGATACTGGTGCAGGTGCAGGTGCTGGTGGGGGGACTTCATCCTCATCATCTTCAAATGGATTCTGTTCGGTCTCGCGGAGAACTTTGGACTGGTCCTGAGTAACCACTCGCTTGCGGCGAGGAAGTTCCTGATTATAATTTTAGCGGATGGAAAACTTGGGACTCAACCTACGTACCTTGTATAGAGCAGCAATTCGCTCGAGGCCACGGACGTTCTTATACTCAGCAGCCCATGATCTGAAAAGCTCTTTACACTTATCTCTGACAAGGGGATCGGAGAGGTCCGAAGTACCACAGACGCGTAAACGCTCCAACAGCATTTCATCAGCAAATGTAAGCTGGAACCGTGCCCCAGCATTCTGAATTAGGCCATCTAAAAGGGTAAGAGCTCGAATCTGGCGGTGGACATTTCCGTATTTTAGCTTCTTGCGGATGGCTCGAGCTGCTTCGGCAGGCCCGGTTGCTTGAAGTTTGATAGCTTCCACAAGATCTGGGATACCACTGAAGTCATCATCTTCATATTGCTCACTGGTGAGATTCTCCACAGAAACAGTGACTGCAGAATAAGGTTTCTTCTGGTGGATGCAACGCAGTGTCAGCTTTGCAACTCTATTGAACAGTTCATCAGTCCTGCTGTTTAAAGCCGGAGTTTCAACATCATCAGAACCAAGTCCAGCCCCTCTAACACGAATCTCTTCCTTGGTTCTACAGGCTAACTTTGACTGTATTGGGCGTCGTAATCTGACGTCCAAGTTGTGGGGGCAGTAAGCGATCATGGTGGCATGCATGTAGAAGACTGGTAGTGATGGAAAGATACACGCGCAATGTAATAATAGTAGCTGAGAGTGATTGGAGACGACTCAAAGGAATGATACTAACAGAAGAAAACATTTTGCTTTGTGATTCTGCCCCACGCATGTACGCAGGTACCGAGACCTTATGGCACCTATAGTCCTCGTCACCTCAAAGTATCATTCACGCAAGTCGTCCAGAAGAGGTACGATAGTTATGTTCGGCCTCTGGTTCGGATACAAGCGAACGATTGCAAAATAGGAGGGACAGTAAGTATAGGCGGCTTGCAAGAGGTTGATATTATGGATACTTTAGAGGGGCAACCTGATAAGAAAGATGCGACTTGGCGGGGTAATTCTGACTGATGACTGACTGTCTGCCTGCCTCTGCTTATTGCCTTCTAAGAGTCTGGTCGCACGCAAAGGTATGAGGCTGCACAGGAATGCTAAGATAAAAGAGACACGAATGTGAAGCAGATGATATCCAAGATGAGATGTGCGACTTAAACAAAAAAGGTAACCTGTGACCACAGCGCTGATTGTGATAGCCTCGCGCTAGTACGGTTATAGCTAGCGAGGAACAGTACCGATGGAGTCAAGTGCCGGTCCTCCGACACATGCATGCATTCAGCCGCTATCTTCTTTCTTTCTCCAACAACAACCATCTCATTTCTGCGGATATTGAACCCAAGGATTCATCTATACACATTGGTGTCGAGGAATCCAGGACTCAAGGGGTGACATTATGTCGGTGTATCATGGGTGGGATCGAGAGGAGTTAGAGGCTGTGGGCGAGGCACTAGACCAGTGAGTCTTAAGTATCCAGCATCTGTATCATTGTTTGCAACTGACAATTAAAGCAAAAGTCGCACTACTCATACTTCTTCAACATCATCCTTTACGCCAGTCAACCTAAATCATGCCATTACCCAATACATTAATCCACTCGAGATGCATCACGATCAACCCGTCGATGCCCTCCCTGACATTAACCCCTCCAAAGTCCCCTCCACGAAAGGCAAGAAGCGACGGGCTACAGAATCAGTCACTGGCCGAGCATATTCTATTGGTGCCGTTTGGGAGTTCAGAGATGAGGGAGACTTGGGATATCAAGGACAGCAAGACAAAATTCCGCCTAAAAGAAGAAAGTCTGCCCCTGCCAAGAGAACGAAGTCTGCGAAAGGCCCACATCAAGTGCTCCCGCAAATACCAGAGCCAGTTGAAGGTGGCCTTGCCGTACCGCAGAATGATGACCAAGACCAGCAAGCCTCACAACTGACGACTCCCCCTGATTCAGCCAAGCGGTCAAAAAACAAGCCAGGCCCCAAAAGCAAGAAACCTCAATTGCCAGCTTTCAAGAGTCTTACAGTATCGAAGCCAGTCATCAACCAAGAGAAGAACCTTGAAGGTTATTCCGCCCGCTCGTCTAAAATTAAGAGTCAACTAGGATGGACAACCACTCAAGATGCGGTCAAGCTCACGAAGACTACACTGGACAAACTCGCCTCGTTCCAATTCAAAGCCCGAACCGAAGCACAACCGGTTGCAACCGCGACACAATATGCACCTACTCACACTAATGTAGGCAAACAACGATCACAAGACAGAGGCGAGGGCGTCGCTCCACCTTCCTCCGACTATTGCCCATTTCCGAGTAGCGATAGCTTGTTCAAAGAAGCTTGCTGGAATGCGGAGACAAGTGATCCGTTATTTAACGAGCCTGTTACAGCGACGTCTCAAACAACTGATTCTCCAGTGGGCCATACTAAGGAAATGACGAATCATTCGCCGCCGCAAATGATAGAGTACCCGCCAAGCGCCACCCCCAGGGCGGGCGATTCAACAATTTTGCATGCTGACAACATCCTTGGAGACCGAGAAGCATATCGTCAACTGATTAAACAGACCACATTGCCTCGACACGACTTTCATAATGACGATCCCACTTCTAGTGAAGCTGGGATGCTTGATGGTCTCTTGGATGACTTGCAATATTTAGAAACAGAGCAGCAACCAACCAACGATGAATCTCGGGGAACTGTTCTTCATTTGGATGAGGGATCTCTAGAGCACCCAACTGGCCATGACAATCTGTCTCAAACTGTTGCTCTCGAAGTCGATGGCACAGGCACGAATCCTGAGGAAGAACGCCAGGGGTTATTGGAACGCTCTGATCCAGGCATTCTACCACAACTTGCCCGTAAATATCAGCCTCGGCACTCTGAGATTCAAGTTGAGCGATCAGACAATGAAGAGGTAGAAATCTTCAAAAATGATGTATCCAAGGACTTTGAGCTTGACGAGTATGATGATGGTCTGGATGACGCCGATCTGCTTGAAATCGGTTCGGGTCTTGTGCCTGAAACGCAATTCTCTCGTCAATCAATCCCCCAAGAAAATGTGGAGTCCATCGAAAGTTCCCCGGACCTTGCACAAACTGGACATCAACCCGGAACCAAACATCCAAAGAAGTGGACTGCGAAAGCCATTCAAGCCAATTCAGTGATTGCGAATTCTCATATTTCCCATCTCCCAAACTCTCAGCAAGACGGCGACTTTTCAATGGATCAAGCGGATGAAGAGATGATGCTCGAAGCGGCAGAACAAACCATGGATGTCGTTGAGACCCTTGAACTCTCGGAAAGCCTTGGAAAACATGCATTCAAAGATTCAGAAGCCGAGGAAGTCTTCGATCGGTCTCTTCAGTTCTCACCTCTCAAATCACCAAAACCAAGGCCGTCGCCAAGCAAGGTGAGAAGTAGCCCTAGTACTGACAAATCTAGTAATCCACAATCAACAGACATGGAACTACCTTCGTGCGAGGAAGAAGACTGGTCTTTCATCCGTCGGGAAGATGCAGGTATCCATGTCCCTCCTGAGAACGAAGACTATCGATGCTTTGTTGTGCCACCGGTTCCACCCATACCCAAGATATCGGACTACTTCAAACCCCAAGCTACCCAACAAATCACAAACTTAACAGTCGGATTCTTGGATGACAGCCACGAATACCAGCCACTCAAAGCCTTCGTTCGCCCAGATTTCCCTGCCCTGACTCCAGACCGTTGTCCCATTGTCGGTGTATCCACCCAAAGCTTCCTCCGTGTGTGCTTCCGAATCGGAGAAATGCTTAAAGAAGCAGGCCGGCGCAATGCACACGGCCAAGACGCCGTAATCGAATTATTCGCCAAAGTCATCTTTTCAACCCGCCAAGCCGGAACATCAAGACAGACTTTCCAATTCGGAGACCTCTTCTTCGAGAAAGGGCCGATTGCGAGCGGAGTGCTCATGAATTACAAGACTACGGGTCTAGCGGATAGCGAGAGCAAGGTGTTTGTTGGCAAGCCTGGGATGATGGCGAGATGTTTGGGGCGGTTGAAGAGGGATAAGCAGACTGCTTCGGGGTGGTTGTTGCATGTGATTACGGTGAGGGAGACGGACTGGGAAGAGATTAGATGGACAAAGAGGATTGTCAGTGCTGGGCTTGTGAAGTCAGAGATTATGGGTCGGTCGAATTTGTAAGTCACAGAGATGGATGTTTTTCGGGAAAAGTTGTCCTATTATTGCTACCCAATTTGCTTGGCTATTGGCCATACTGACATTTAGGAACAACGTACCAGAAATCTTTAGCACATTGTATTAGCTATTACTCCAACCCATTAGATAAATCTTGTCTTATATCCAAGAACATTTCAAACATTAAAGACAACATCTTGGATTCCGATCAGAAAAAACCGACCTGATGGATACTGTATAATCACGGCATGGTATTAGTAGAGGAAGGGGGATTAATGCATGATACAAAGTACCTTATATTAGTTAGTAAACTACCCGAGGCGTGCAGAGAAGAGGACTTCATGATTCACATTCCAATCCCATAACCCCGATTTAGCACGCAAACCTACACAAGCCGATCCAAACACCCAACTCCAACCCAATTCCCCCACTTCTCGTTCGTCTAAGAATAATACATCACATCCAAACCCTCACATCCTAACATTCAAAACTCCCTCCCCCTCCCCCTCAACCCCGCTACTAGCAACAGCAGCAGCCCCCCTCTCCCTTCCCCCAGCCATGATAACAGTAACCCCTACAACCGCAACAAAGAAACAAAAACACACCACGACCATCCAGCGCAACTGCCGCGACTTCTCCCGTCCGCTCTTAAAGCTTACACAACAGTTATTCTCCCGGCTTAACGCACGTTCCATGTCTGGACTCGCGTCGCTGAATGTGACGCAGCAGTTATGGCGCTTGCGTCCTTTTCTACCACCACCTTTTCTACCACCATTCATACTCATATCCTCTTCTTCTTCCGCACATCCATCTCCGCCTCGGATGCGGTTATGGGTTCGCGTGGTGTTGTGAGAGGAGGATGATTCCTCTTTCAGGAGTAAGAGACGGCCGATGCTCTCTTCGAGCCATTCGACACGCTGTTTTAGCCCGGCGATCGTGGCTAGTGCGTCGTTGCTCGTGCTGTCACCGGGAGCTGAGCTCTCGAGCTCGGTGCCGATTGTGCTGGGTGCTACGCCCCATAGTTCTTGGGTAGGGAGGGGCCGGGGGGTGCCTGGGGAGGAGAT